TGGACTGGCCCAACAGCTAGAGTAGGCCTAGTGTGACCTCCTCCTTCGGCATAACTCGTTCGACCACGACTTGGGCTCTCCCGCCTTCCTTCGGGCACCATCGATCATTGCCCTCCTAGAACAACATTGACCTATAATAATCGACGAGCGCCTCTCAGTCTACCCAATCTCAAGTCGGCCAGACAACCAGGAATCGACCAGACCGCTGCCCGTAACCTACCTCCTCCTCGAAACTAACAGCTAGTTGCAGGCACACCTGCCCGATTTGACCAAGTTCTGGCCGTTACCTATTTTTGAGGATCCACATATCTAGGCCTAAAAGTAGGGACCAATGGCCAAGTGCCAAAGGAACTATATAAACCCTCTCTCATGTGAGGGCCAGGTATCGAATACCCATTATTCATCACTAAAACCCTAATACTTTACTTGTATCTCTTTTTGCTCCCGCACTTACTTGATCGTCAGAGTGCCTTGCAGGTACAACCCCCCCTTTTCCTCTATTTTCCAGCCCATCTGAATATCATCATCCAGCCACCTTACAGATTCTGATCAACCGGTAATATCAAGTACTATCTCTCTTTCATAATTTGTCCAGAGTACATGGTGCTCTCATAGAAGTAGGTCAACCTTTTGATTGGCTAGTTCTCCCTAGTAATTATGACAAAAATATTTGTAGTTGTTTTTATGGGTGTTTCGTCCCTTTCTATGGTGTATGTTCACCTAGTTAGATTTTTGGTTGCCTTTTAATGGATTTGAGGGTGTGTTGAAGCACTTGAATTCGTGCCCCCTCGGTTACATCTAAATGCATGAGCCTATGTGAAGGTGTTATAGTTTTGGTGTGAATATCAAAATCAAAAGTTGTTTTTGAATATATTCTTTCATGTTTTTATTATGACTTTACTTCTCAGGATTGTCTCAATGTTCAAAGGTTGATCTCGTTATGGTATGATGTCAAATAGTTTTACATTTATGATAAGAAATGGAATAAATTTAAGGATCATTTCCTCCTCGTGGACCCTCAGACTTCAAAGACCCTTTATGTTTTCTGTCATGTTCTTGAGGGGAGGCCTCCTACTACCAGTTTCCTCCACTCCAAGGTGACTATATGTAAGAATATGATTAGAAGATGTTGGATCTAGAACCACTTTAGTTTGGAACCCCACACTTATACTATTATCTTGACTCTTTGAATCCAGATGAAATTTTAATAAAATAGTACTTGATGGATTTATCGAAGAGACTGGATTATGAAAAAGGGCTCGACCCTTCAGATGTAGGGCCATATATGCAAAAGAGAAAGGTCATTGGATCTCATGTAATAGTAAACTCAGTTGATGCTTACGAGAGGAAAAAATCTTAGGCAAGGACAAAAAATCAATCTTTATGTATACTTGCTTTTGTCATCCATAATTAATGAGTGCTAATCTTGCTCTTCTCTTTCCAGGGGATCTTGGGGGCCCATATTACATCTCAATCTTGATTGGCCTTCTCTATTTGGGACCAACCTTCCTCTAAAGGACCAAATAAGGGGTCTGACAATCGAACTCTGGTCTCTATTGAAGACAATAACAAAAGAGGAAGATACCAAGATTTATTCCAAGAAGAACGCTTATACAAGAAACATGGGTTTTTTAATCCTCCTTTGTCGGATCTGTTCTACTTGGCATTGAAAATCCCCTTATTCTTCTTAGTTTTCCTGTTATTTTCCAGTCCAGGGTTCCTCGAACCTCCCAAGATGTGCATGTCTATATATATGAGTGGTCTTGTTTACCTTTAGAATCTTTCTGGTGCAGAGAAGTTGGAATCGATACCAAACACTAACTTCTATATGTTTCGTAGTGGCTCCCTGATGTCTTTGGCGACTAAGGATCATAAAGAATTTTTGTCTCTGGGCAATCCTTCCAAAGAGATGGGCTATTGGAAGAGTAAATATGATATGGTCGTCCATGAATGAACCTAAATCCAAGGGAAGTTGTTCAGTATTCAAAAGGATAATAAAAGATTGTCTAACCTTCAAAAGGAGGTGGATAGTCATGTCACTCCTTCTTATTTGAATACTAATGTGACTAAATTACATGTATCCTTGGAAGTTATGGAAAAAGATCTTGAGAAGGTGAATACTTTCATGGTAATAATGACCTCTCAAGTTACTACAGTTGAAGGTTCTCTTCTGAAGGATAAGGATTCTCGAGCTGAAGAGTGGGAGACCTACACATAGAAGCTAAAGGTGGTGAAGAAAAGACTTGACGACGTTGTTGATAAAGGCCTTAATATTATATTCAAAGCTTTCAAAGATGCAGATGATCAAATAAAGCTATTTTGGCCGAATTGGTCAGGGATGGGCTATAGTTAGTGATGATGAAGCCCTGGAAGAGGGTTGTGACGAGTGATTTTATGATATTTTGAATTGGCATGCATGTATTTGTCGTTGTTTTGAGCTTTATAATGGCATTATATTAACTAAATTCCCTTTCCCTTTGTGGTTTGCTTGTTCCATTAGCTTTGATGTTTTAACCTGCATTTTTTATTTTGTTATTTTGATAATCTTCGATCTTGACTTTAACTTTTGTTATTCCTTTTACTCATGATTATGTTGACCTTTTGGGGTTTCGCTTCTACCTATCCCTTTTGTTGGAGACTGGAGTAATCTTTGATACTTCACCTTTACCTGTCCCTTTTTTTATATAATTGAAATAATTCTTGATGTTCGCCTTTACCCATCCCATTTGTTAAGAACTGCAACAAATTCTTTGATGTTTTGCCTTTACATGTCCCATTTGTTGGGGATTTGAGTAATTCTTTGACGTTTCGCCTTTACTCGTCTTATTTATTTGGAACAAGAGTAATTATTTGATGCTTCATCTTTACCCGTCCCATTTGTTGGAAACTAAAGTAATTATCTGAGACTTCGCCTTTACCCACCCCATTTGTTGGAAATTGGAGTAATTAATTGACGATTCACCTTTACTCATCCCATTTGTTAGGAGTTGGAGTAATTCTTTGATGTTCGCCATTATCAACCCCATTTGTTGGGAATTGGAGTAATTCTTTGACGTTGCTAGGGGTCGTTCCTGACCAAAGGTTGGACCCTCTTCTCTACCCCCAAGTTTGAGCCTTGTTTGAGGTTAATGTGTCATAGGATCCACCTCTCACACTCTTGGAGTGACTAGCTACTAAGATGGGGGATGCACCAATTGTGACTTATTGCACTTTATTTTCTTGTGTCTTGTTTTCTCAAAAGGAAATTCCCGCAATTTTAATAAATAATATAATATCATTTATATTAAAAATATTACACCGCGAGGTAATTAAATCATTAAACCCTTGAATGACTATTGAAAAATACTTAGTTGAAATACTCTTTGAGTCCTGGGTTCTTAGCAAACCCCCTTCCCACAACAATCAGACTTGGGTTACCATCTTCTTGAAGAAAGTCGAGGTCAAAGTTTGAAGTCGATCTAATAGCCTTCGTTTCATCTCCGGTGTGCGAAATAACTTTATTGTCTTATTGATTTTCACTTTTTTGGATGTTGAAGTTAACAATGAATTTTTATCGATTTCTTTTCAAATCTTCTTAGAACCAACCCCAATTATGTATAAATCTTTTGACTTTAATCTCCGGTCGTGACGCGCTCTATGCGAGCTGTGATGGGCATCATAACTACTTTTTTTTCCCCTATTATCACACTCCTTTCTTGTTGGAAAAACAAATCAAATTTAACTACTACATGAATTTATATATTATAAAAAAATGATAACAATTATTTCTAAAAACTTAAAAAAGAAAAAATAAATAGTTATTATATTAAAAATTATATCTATTATTTTATTTATTTATCACCACCAATATATCATAGCCCTCCTTACAAAATCTAGCGTCAATCTCCACGTTATTTACTAACTATTGATATTATTATTTTTAATAAATCATTTATTCATTTCAAGATACTTTATGGCATTTGTTATCAAGAGTTCCAACTAAAAATCACTTTTTAATTCAAAGCCGCGGTTTGAAAAGGAAGGCATGAACCACCATTACATTGTTGTTGGAGGGCCATGGTGTTGCCGTCACTGTGAAGTAGACAACACAAAAATATCTAGTCAATGATGATACCACCAATCCCTGAACAACACATCATGCTATACAGACAGCGAAACAGTTAACTAACTGTTTTTCCTCCAACCTACTCACATTCAAGCTCTCTACTTTCGACATCTGTAAAGCTAAAGACAAACAACATAAATATCTCCCAAACTCACTGACCCAAATTCGATCATAGGCGGTTAGTTTCAAACAAAGGTGTCTCAATGTTTTTTTCCATCAAAATAAATAAACTCTTTTATTGAAAAACTCACAATGTTTTTTTAAAGAACAAAATGAATCCCACGTTATAAACTTTTAGTATTTATTAAAAAGAAAGAGATTGGCCTTGAAGCAAAGGTAGAACCGTGTGGGGTCCATTCAGCCACCCATGAAAGAAACTTGTACACACTTTGTCTAACTCTTTGCTTCTTTAACCAGAAAACCAAAAAAAAATTGAAATTTAACTTTTGAACCCTTTCCCTTTCACCTTCTTCATATATAAATCACTCTCTCAACTCATTCTCATTTCTCACAAACAAATTCTCCCAGGCTTTCACCTCACAACACTATCAAATACCTCATAAATTCACACTGCAAAGTCCAATAATCAAAGCATTGAAAATCCATTGGATTCTGATTCCCGCTCGCTCTCTCCTTTTCATTTTGTTAAGATTTCTTTTTCTTGAAATGGGTAGCTTAAAATTTAAGTGCTTTTTCATCTGATTCTGTTTTTGATTTTATCGGATAAATAAGCTGTTTTGAACTAACCCAGAATTAAAAACTTGGTCTTTCTTTTATATTCTGACCAAATCTGAATCTGGGTCATTTAATTTCTTCACTTTGATTTGAAAGGTTAATTTTTTTTCTTCTAAAAAAATCACCTTTTTTTTGTGTTTGAGAGAGCGAGCGGAAGAAAATGGCTAAGAACAATGGAAAATCCAACAAGGATTTTGGTGATGCAATTCAGAATTACAACAAGTTTACACAAACGGGTGAAAGCCAAGTTAATTGGGAGAATGAAAAAGGAAAAAGTGTTGAATTAAGCACTTCTCAAAAGCATCATTGGAAGCCCGTTTTTGACGAAGCTTCTTCCATTTCACATAATAGACCTTTCAAGAAAAGCAAAAGCCCTGAACGTGAAAATCAAAATCAAAATCAGTTTTCACCTTTCTCTCTTCCTTCTCCAGCTTCTTCTTCTTCAAGACATGTTTTCCCCTTTGCTTTTGATAATAACAATTCTCAACAATTCAATTTACCTTTTCATCCTCCACCCCAACCTATTCAAACAACACAAAACCAACAAATGATATCTTTTGGGTCACAAACACAAACACAACAACAGAACAATATTGTTTCATATCCTCCACCGATTTTGTCGCAACAACATCATCAACAGCTTCTTCAGTATTGGAGTGATGCATTGAATCTTAGTCCAAGAGGAAGAATGTTGATGATGATGAACAACAATAACAATAGGTACTTGGGAGGGCAATATGGTAATAATAATAATGGAGCAATGTTTAGGCCTCAAGTTCAACCTATAAGCACAACTAAACTCTATAGAGGAGTTAGACAACGCCATTGGGGAAAATGGGTTGCTGAAATTCGTCTACCGCGAAATCGTACTCGTCTCTGGTTAGGCACATTTGATACTGCAGAAGATGCTGCTTTAGCCTATGATCGTGAAGCCTTCAAGTTAAGAGGAGAGAATGCGCGGCTCAATTTTCCTGAGCTTTTTCTCAACAAAGATAAAGATAAAGACAAAGAAGAAGAAAAAGAAAATGAAGAAGGAGAAGCGCATTCATCGCCACCTCCAACGACATCAACAACAACAGATTCATCGGTTTCTTGTCCTTCAAGTAACACCGTTACAAAGCAGCCTGAAACTCCTTTGATGCAGACACTTCCGATGGAGGAGTCTAATGAGAATGACTCTGGAATTGGATCGAGTGACGCGAGTCACGCGACAGTGAGTGAAGGCGTAGAAGGAGTTTCAGTTTCACAGTCACAAGAACTGGTTTGGAGTGAAATGTCAGCATGGTTTAATGCTATCCCAGCTGGTTGGGGACCGGGTAGTCCTGTTTGGGATGATTTGGATACAAACAACAATCTTAATCTTTTTTCGCAGTCACAAATTCCATTTTCCAATCTCAACCAACAATCAGAATTCAGTGATTTTGATCCTCAGATGAGGTCAAGTTCTTTCATTAGCCCTTTCTACTGGAACAATGATCAGAATTAATCTTGAAGTTTTCTTTTGTCCACAATCAAGGGTTGCTGATATTTTTACCAGACAACCTTTGAGCTTTCAATAATGACCAACTTTGAAGTATGTGGTGGATTCATTTCCTTCAATTAGGCTCAATGTATTTCTGAGCCTTTCAGCTTCAGGGTCATATACCTTATAGTGTTACTTTTGTTCATTTAACTTTAAGTAGCATAATTATTAGCATGAGTAGGGAAGAAGGAAACAGTTTTTGTGATTTCCTTCTTGATTCCATCCGTTATGAGCTATGTTTTTGAGCTTCAAGGATGGATTTTTATATGTATACTATATATTACAGCATTTGTAGTTTGTGAAGTTTGTTTGTACTGATATCATGCTATATAGTTATGTCATTTTCTAGTTTATGTTATGCATTATTGCTTTTTACACCTTTCACTTTTTCATTGCCTAGTCCAATTAACATAAAGCGAATATACATATATATATATATATATATATATATATATATATATATATATATATATATATATGTGTGACTTAAATGTAAAATATGATAGATCTAGTCGCTAGCCTAATAAGGCTTTTATAGGTGTCACTGTCTAAAAGTAGCAGTAGCACTGGGAATCTGTAGTTCCAATAACCCGCAATGTTTTTTAAGTTACTAGCCTATTAACTTCATTAGACATTGAACATATTGGTGGATGAATTAGATTAGTTGTAGCTATCCTGTTTTTCTTTTTGATGGGAGGTCAATTTAAGTTTAGTCAAAAGAAAGGAAAAAAAAGAAAATACTTAGGTACCACAAATATAAATGAGTTGTTGTTCGAGACAAAAGTTATAGTTGGAAAATGAAAATAGTTAGTTTGAAATTGAGAAGTGTGCGATCTGGATATATATATTTGAGAATTTCTTTTTATATATAGTAGTGGTAAAAATCATTCGTGAAAATTTAAAAATACTTTTTGGAGACGTACTTTCGACGCATCTTGTAAATTTGAAATATTAGATTATTTCGGATATGTATATCCGAATGAACTCCTATTTTTCATTTTTAAGGAGATTTCAGATATGTATATCTGAAATAATCCAATATCCCAAATTTTTTTACATTTTATTTTAATTTTTTTTAAAAATATTTATTTATAATATAATTAAATTGAATTATTATTAATAAAGAATAATTTAAATTTATAATTGAAAATTAAATATTAAAATAAAGTAATTATATAAAATTAAAGAATAAATGCAATATTTAAATTTTTAATTATAATAATGAAATGTAATTATCTTTTAATTTTTTATTTAAAATTATCAATAATTTTTGATTAAAAATATAAGAAATATTTTTTAATTATAATTTTAAAAGTTAAATTTAATTTAGATGGAATTTTTTAATTATTACTATAAAATTGATAATTAATTATTATGTTTAATTAGAAAGTTTATTATATTAAATAAATATTTTTATGTAAATAAATAATATTTTTCCATTTCTAACACTAAAAATATATAAAACTCATGTAAATAATTGATAAGGTAATATAATTAATATAATTGATACACCTTGATTTTAATTGTTGAAATTGATACACCTTAATTCTAATTGTTGGAATACTTTGAATATGTATATCTGAAAACTCTCAAAGATGAAATATTAGATTATTTCAGATATGCATATCCGAAAACACCTTTAAAAACCTGAAATTAGGTTATTTCAGATATGCATATCTGAAAATCCCTTGAAAATGAAATATTGGGTTATTTCGGATATGCATGTCCGAAAACACCCTTAAAAAACTAAAATTTGGTCGTTCGGAGATGCACTTCTGAATTTTGGGGTATTTTGGAAATTTCGCTAGAGGTCCTAAAGAAGTGCACTAGGTGTGGAAAGAAATTCTCATATATATCAGGTAATTCACCAAGTTATACATCCTAGACACCCAATTACATCCAAGACGCCCAAACTACATCCAAGACGCTTAATTCAAGTAGAACGCTAAGATCAGAAATAGAAGCAGCATACATAGCATTCAATCCCCTTTATAGCCTCAAAACGACAAGGAACCTATTACCATGTGTTTACCCTTGAATTTGATAAACAAGCGGTAGTCTTCTAAAACAAAGATATTTTAGTTACTTACAGGATCGACTAGATTGATCCTAGGACGATGTGTTTAATTTTTTTTATGTTTTGTGGTTTTCGAATGTTCGTCTTTTTGAATGTAATAGTCATTTGATAAGTAATTGTGAAACTATGTGAAGTGATAAAAGGAAAATAAAGAGACTTCGACTTGAAAGTAAAAGAAATTAAAAGAACTTTTGTAAAGATAAACTGGCAATTGAATAAAACTTGGTGATTCATACGTATATTCTCAGAAAACTCTTTTCTCGGTAAATGTTGGTACTTCGAGTGAAATTGAGTATTTGTATAGAATTCGAACACACTAAAATCCTAACACCAAGACTCTAATTTATACTAGTTCGACCATAACGGTCTTTTTCTAAAAGAATGCCACGTTCAATGTTTGTATGTCCTTCAAATTCTCAGACTTCTGTGTGTCCTTTTGGATAGGATCAATCCTTTTGAATTCAAAATTTTCTTCCTTTGAGCCAAACCAACCAGCATGACCTGTCGAAATATTCTTCTTCGAATCTTCAAATATCTTAAGCCCTACTTATTCATAAAAGTATGACTTTTCACAAATATTTAGCTTAGCAAAAGATTAGACTATCCATGAGTCAGTCAGTCAGAATCTTAATGAAATATTCTCATATTTCTTTTTAGAACTGACCCTTCTTCGACATTCCTCATGTTACCTTATTATTCTATTGTCGTCGAAATTTCTAGCTAACAAATTGACCTCCAAAATTCTTTATTTCGAAACATTTGAAGAAATGAACAGTTTTTGCAAATCTTCATTTTCGACGCATAAACCAACTGTCGTGTCTTTACTGCTATGACGTCATGGTCATGATGACCATCTTTCCAAACGTCTTATCGAGACATGCACAATTCAATTTTCTCATGATTTCTACACTAAATAGGAGTAACTCGTGGCCTTTTTCAAAAAGCAACCATCTTGTCAGCTTATGAGATAACAACACGTGTCCCACCATCTCTATTATGAACAAAAAAGAAAATGAATTATTTGTCATTCTCTAACTATAAATAGTCTTTTCATCTTCAAACAATATTTTTCTACTCTCATTTTCCAGAAAACCTTGCAATTTTCTTCAATCCTCTCTCTTTAAAGAACTTGTTCATCTTCAAAATTTCTTCATCAATGGCGCCCTCTAAGAAGAACAACAAATATGCCAAAGACGTGAAGAACACAAAGGATCCTGCTTCCGTTCCCATTGCTCATGTAGAAAAACCAATTTTGTCTGAAGATCAAGAGTTTGTTCCAACACCTAATCTTCAGGCAGAACAACGCGCCATTTACGAATCCCAGGTAATAATTCCTTTTACCCTTGCTGATAATACTTTAGGATATATGGGTCTTATGGTCAACGTTGGTGATTTGGAGAAACTTAAAGAGTTTTTTCCAACTTACCGCGTAACAAAATCCATAGCTAGTAAGGTTGATTCTTCAAAAAATGTAGATAAGAGTACTGAGAAAAACCCTAAGGTAGGAACTGTAGAAAATGTTCAGGAAGAAACTTCCTCAGGATCTATTGATGTATAGAAACCCTTTCATTAGACTATATGAATGATGCCCTAAGTCCCTTTAGGTAATGCCCAACAAAGGATAGCTGACAATATCTTAATTGGTTAGCTAAGGTCGAAAAGAAAAAAACCCCAAGTCTAAAAAGACATAGACATTTTTGACTTGATTGAACTGTCGAACATTAGGCCAAGCTATTGCCAGCATATACTGATGGCCTCCCTATACTTTTGGGATGACACTTACAACACCTTTCACCTTCCATGTGAAATGTTCACTCCCACACTATTTGATGTTGCTGCCATCACTTACCTTCGACCTACTTGAGATACTTTCGTTCTATATGAGCAAACTGAGAACACCATTGGTTTCGAAGTTAGGCACGCTGACTTCACCAACTACATTGATCGCTACTATGTCGAAGGAGACAAAGTGTTGGATGTGGAACACATAGCTTTTCTTGCTTTGTGGTTGTCTCAATGCATATTTTATTATAAATCACCGCAAGTAGCCAAGAGGTTCTAAACTCTGGTGAATCAACTCCATTCTGGACAAAACATCTACCTCAATGAACTGATCTTGGTTGAGCTGTATGATTCCCTTGGGGAAGCTACTGATAATTTGAAGAAGTATAAATTAGGTACGAACTTATTGCTAGCTGGCCCGTATTGGCTTCTCCAGCTATGTTTAATGCTACATTCGAACCCTCATTTTCTACCTCTGGGACAGTAGATGAAACAGATCCTGAAATCCAGACTTAATCTATTGAAGGGACTAGACTGGTTCGATTAAAACCAAATGAGGATGGAAAAAGTCTAAAGGTGTGTTTCACGAATTATGCTATGATGTTTGCCAAGCGTCATAAATTCACAACTTCGATGGCTTCTTTTGGCCAGAGAACTCATGGCCCTGAATGGTTTACAAAATCACTTTATGCTATTTGCCTACTCAAGAAGCATAAACTCTAGCTATCTGGAAAGCCTTCTTACTCCCTAGGCTGATTATAACAAGACTTACGCCCATCAAGAGCCACCATGTATTTCTTGCTTATCAAACCAACTTTGTCTCTCGATAATTTAGACTTTTCCAACTTATTCCTGAACCACTATTCGAAAGGAAAAGCGTTCTTTGCTTTTGTGGAATGAATTTCTCCATCCCTGAACGAGATGAACGCATGCAACACTACTCTAACTTTTCTAAATTCACACCCATTCATTTGTGTCCATCTTTCTACTGCACTAAAGCCTTTGATGCTTGGTGGAGGGAAATTTTACTCTTCAAACATGTTCGACGCCACCCTCTTCTCTCAGCATCTAACCAAATCTTCCGCCTTTATGCAGGATCAGTCCA